GTGGTACCAGTGATTGAACCCAGGTCCTTGTGTTTGCCAAGCAGGTGCTTAGACTGCCATTACCCTCTCACTTTCTTGGATGCAGGGACTAAGATATCTACAAGCCAGTAAGGAGCATGATAGCAGTACTACTCTTACTTGGCTTCAGTCCTGCAGCTTCCTATTTGACTTTAATAGGCACTATTCTTACAACCCTAACTTACTGTGACCACCGACTGCAATGTTAAAGTGACTAGATTAAGATTCTGGATGTGTCATGAAACTGTGACCTGCAATGCTACGTGTGGACTCTGGCCCCGTCCTGTCCTATGGTACAGCTCCTCTGCTGTGCTCCCCAGCCACCAAAAACTAATCATCTTTTCTTTGAAATACTCTTCTGGCATGATGTTTCTGCACTGTAGCAGCCAAGTGTGGATTGACCGAAGCCCCTGAAACCAAGAGCCAAATTAAGCCTTTATTCTTTTTTCTTGGGGTGGGAGGCTGGATACCAGGCAGCAAACTCAGATTTCATGCTTACCAGGAAGCCTCTCTTCCTTAAATGTGGGTATTGCGCCCCAGTGGCTGCTGATTAATACACCTGCTCTGATGAGCTGCTTGCCATCTAGGCCGGTTTCAGCTGGTATCTCCTCTACATTGAGTGGGATCCCTCTTTTCAGTGGAATCCCAAATTATCTTTTTTATTTTTACTTATTTATTTATTGCGGAACTGGGGATTGATTGATTTTTTGCGGAACCGGGGATTGAACTCAGGCCCTTGTACTTGCCAGGCAAGCACTTATTCTACTGAGCTATCTCCCCACCCCCAATCCAAAATTATCTTAAAAAATGAGGTGGCCCAGAAGAGTAGAGGTGGAGATGATCAAGTCCTTGTTATCTATCAATATAGCCTAAACATTAGCCCAGAAAAATAACGGAGATTTAGGTGTTCCCTGCCTAAAGTAAAAACAATCAAATCTGCTGGAGACTGCTATTACTTGGCTGGGCTAATTAAGCCGTGTTCAGCCTCCATGAATCACATTAACCCCCCACTGCACTGCGTAGTCTTTCTATCACACATCACTGAACTGAACACAATCCTCACATCACATCTGGCAACACTGTCATCTTCTAAGGGTTTTCCTTTAGTGTGTAGCTGAGATCCACAAATCTATTCACCAGCATTCTCCAGGCACTTATTCATACCTGCAGCCTATCACACAATGAAGACCTACCGTAGGCTTCATAAGAATCCTGAACCTCCCCATGTCCATAGTCATAATATTCTGAATCCCTGGAAACCAAAACAAGAGCGTTATAAAGCTACACAGTAACTGTATTTGAGTTCCAGTCTTTTCTCAAAATTTTCCACTCACTTTATTGTGTGTAAAATACAAGATGTTCATTTCATCCTATCCCTAAAACTCCAAAATATTTCCAAAACATGTATACACTACAAATTGACCAAAAAAAAAAGTTTAATCATAGCAAGGAAAAATAGATACCATACAACTTAAAGTAATAAAGCAGAATCCTCAGATAACAACTCAATCAGTGTAATAAACATTCACTGAGTTCACTAGAAGAGAATGAACAAATAGGAAAAGAGCTACTCTGGACCTATTA